GCAGAGCAGAGTTGGTTTGCGTTTTCTCCTCACCCCCACACGGAGGGGGATTGGGAAACGCCTCTCTCCCTCCTCAGGCAGCGATGGGGGAAGGTCTGTCAGCCTGTGTCCTTCCCGGCTCGGCCACAGAGCGATAGGAGCTGCTGTTGCGGCTCGCTCCGCCGTCCTTTTCCCTCTCCCCGGGTCTCCCCGCCTCAAGGCTGCCGCTGCGGTTCCCCTGCCAATGCGCCGCGAAGGCTTGCTGGCCGAGAGCCTTTAAGTCCCATGGAAATGTTTGGGGTGGAGTTCCTCCTTGCTTGCTCCGTGCTGATAGCTGGCTCCTGCTTGGCCGAAAGGGAACTTGCAGCATTGACACAGGACCAATTGCCCTACTTCTTGAGTAAGTCGGCGCGGCGGCTGCCTTGAGGGCGCCGTCGCTGCTTGCTTTCTCCCGCGCGCGCTCTCTGTCTTGCTGGGAGGGTCTCTTTTCCTATTGATTTCATTCCCTTCCTGTTGTTGTTAGCCGATTATACAGCGGGTTAGAGTTTCCCCACTAGGAATGATGCTTGATCTTGGCATAACTCTCGTTCCAGGGAGAAAAAAAAATAATAATAAAAGCTTGAACCCGCTAAGTCCAGAGGAATTTCTTTCTTACTGCTCCCGATTGCAGTGTTGATCAGAGACCCGCCCAGTCAGTTCTTGCCCTGTGCTAGGGTTGACTGTGTAAAACCCATTTAACTACCAGAGTGAAGGGCCGAGGGGCCAGGTCTGTACCGCGTGCTAAGCTTCAGTTAGGTTTTTCAGCGCTCAACGGGCTGCGCATTGCCAGCTCTTTCAGTTTGCTCGTGCTTCAGTCGGTTGCCTAAACCCACAAAACGGGTTTTCAGTTCTCCGTTTTATGCACGCAGCCAGTATGTGCAGTTAAGTGTTTATATGTGGCTGGGTATCTTAATATTTTTCAGGTAGTCTCTTGTGGGGGAATGTCATTTTGTTTGCATTAAGCCACAGTGTTTGTAGACTGAAACAGCCATCTCTTGTGTTTACTATGCACCTAACTGTATTACTGATAGTAGTTATCATTGTTCCAGAAGACATTACTAATATTAACACTTTTAAAATCTTTTAAAATGCATTTTTCTAGTTGTCTCAGGGGCTGAATGTTCTAAGCATGAGTACTATATTTGTGGCAGAGCCATACTACTTCCAGTATTGAGGCATAAAGTCCTAAATACCTTAATTTCTGAACTTCTGACTGCCTACATAATAAGATTTGCTTCCCCCCTCTGGTGACTCCTGCCATCCATTCATTTATGTCTGCTAAAATGCAGACCGAAAAAGCAAACCATGCAGGCATGCACAGAATCGTTCAATTCCTATTTTCTGATGCTGTTATCAGAAGATGAAGCTCGTGAGTTTTTCCTCGGAGAAAGGGCATCCATAGCCATGAACAAATGACATTTGGCTCCTTTTCTTTTTAGCTGAAACAATATCTGGGCATGTATTGAGGACCAGTCAGCTGATTCTCAACTCTTTTCTAGGTACTATAAAATTCCAAATATGGAGGGGAGACAGGCATACTTCTCCTCCCTGTGGAGAAGGGAAGCTGCAGGCTGCAACTGTCTTCAGACAGTTGGGTTTCTGATTATGCGTAGTCCACACATTTTGCTGAAATGATTTTGAGACCATTTTTAGTACTTCCCTGACAGTGTGGGCACTTTGGAGATAGAGGGGTTGAAGCTGGAGCATGTATCCCTATCTTCCTTTATACCTGAAATTTTTTGATTCCTGAAGACGCTTAACCCAAAGTATGATTGAGTAGTAGATAGTTCATTTGTCCAATTGAAAGCTAAGTATGGCTGTGGAAAAGCCATGGTACACAAAACACCTTTGTTATTTTGAATGAGATCAGGATTTGAGAACATACATGTGCTAAATGTTGCTTGTTTGGGGGTAGATGGTGCGCGTGTGGACATCTCCCCTGTCACCAACCTGATTTTAATTGTCTTTAAGATACTGATAATTGTTATTTTTAATTGGAAGCTGCATGCTGCAAGGCAAGGTACTAGCTTCTAGCATGATCTCTATTTCCAAGAGTGCCTATGAGACTCACATAGGCTTGGAAAATAAAATGGTGAAAGGCTCAAGCCCAATATCTTGTTCAAATTTCCAGAAAAAAAGATGGTTTAATTGTGTAGTAATAAGATCTAGTTTGAGGGCTAGAAGGGGAATAAGAAGCAATCTCACCAATTTTCCTACAGGTAAATGAGTGTTTCATGAATAGCCATAGCAATCTTTTTGTGAAGGTACCCACAACATATTTTTAAAATTCCAAATTTGTCCATTGCCTAACAATTTGACTATCCTTGTTTCAGGTGTTTTGTAAATTAGGCAACAATTGGTTCCAGCAATAATTTCATATTTCTCATTTTAGTTATAACCAGGAAGTACCTATGCATCTTTTAAAAAGCTGCATTGTTTCAATGAAGTTAAAAAATGCTGTGAGTCACAACAATGCCAGTGAGAGAGGGTTTTTCAAACTTTGTGGTGCTGTGACCTCCTAAAATTTCAGATAGGATTGAGCTTATCATTTTGCTAGCACAGATGTAGGTATCAGTTCTAAATAGTATAACTCAAAGTTAAATTGAAACTTTAAGAAATGCAAAGGTTTGGGAAGACTTGACAGAAAAAAAAATCTTCCATATAATTTTCCATAAATTGTCTTTGAGCTGGATAGCATTTCTTGATGATAAAAGGTTGAGTCTTGGTTGCTTTACTCAGACAACTGGAGAGGTGGAGGGAAACATCTTGATCTCTCTCCTGAGTGTGAATGATTAATATATGAGTGCTTAGATTTTTAAAAAATTATTTATCCCCCCCCTTTAATATTGCTGATACCGTATTCAGTTAAATAATTAAAACAAATGTAAAGGTTTTACTAGTGAAGAGACATCAGCTGCAATCCTAAACTCACTTGCTTTAAACTGGATTGAAGTTCAGAGTGCTATAGGGGTGTGTGTGTGTGTGTGTGTGTGTGTGTATATATATATATATATACACACACACACACACACACACACACACACACACACATACGACTACGACGACTAACTACTA